TCTGAAGGGGGTTCGTTTCTCACCATTCAAAGCTGGCAATCTCGGGGCACTGCACGAACATGTACTGCCCAGCCTTGTAGAGGAAGGTTTCCGGCTTTTTGATCTTCAGAGCGATGACGTTACCGTAGAAGGGAACAGCCTGCGTGCAAAGGCTTTCATCGTCAATCATTTAGGATAAAATCAATAAATCATCGCATATAAACTATGCTGCTTTCGAGCCACGTCGGAAGCCTTCTCACGGAGCTGAACAACGAGTAGACGCCCACAGGTTATGATTAACTGACCTCCTAACCGGCCCACTTTCCTAGTAATCCAAGCCAGTTAGTGTTAACGGTAGACGCTCGCGAGCACGCTCTTTCCGAGGATAAGCGAGAAAATAGGATTGTGAGAAGTGGACGCATAGAGATCAAAGGCTCCATCATGCTTCCGGCAGTGTTTCAGGAGCGAAGGCAAGTGCTTCAACAGACATAGTCGAGTTCCGTGTCGTCTCTAAGGGCTTACTTTGAGCACTTTGACTTCGTGCTTGTAGTTGAAGAGGGAGCGGTGGAGGCGGATAAAGCGGTCGATGACCCAGACAAACAAACCGGGGAGGACCCACAGCCAGGTCTGGAAACAGGCGAGAGAACGCATGGGGGTGAGCCTTTTCCAAGGACAAACGTTACAACCCGGCCATTCCGGTTTGACTTCACTGCTGCAAGACACGAAAGGAGCCCATGATCGACCTGAAAGCAGAGTTTCTGACTGATGCAAGAAATCCGCACTCTCTGCAACCGAGTTGGGATTTCTCGAATCCGAAAAGACATGCAAACTCAAGTTGCCTGAAGGTATGGGACAAGCTAGTCTCGATTGTTTCTCGAAGTGGGCGGAGTGTTCATCCAGCCTTTTTCCCGCTGTATGTGAAGAATCATGGATAGCAAAGAGAGCTGTGCCTATTGTTCCACCTCATGAACAGCCGTCTCAGAGTTGGGCAGATCCATTGGTTCTTCTGTTTTGCGAGGAGGCTGGGATACCAAAGCAGAGTGGCTTTCAGACACGCGGTTCCATATGACAGGGTTGAAGCTGGAGAGCACTCCTCTTCTTTCTACGGTGGGCGGCAGAGACTATCAGAGTGCTTACGTCGTTGGTGGGAAAATGCCCAAACGTCGAGTTGTGGGTCCCGTGCCAGATGATGAAGAAGAATGAGGACAGCAACAAGAAGTGCGTATAGAAGAAGGCGTTGAAGCCGACCACGTGTTGGAGCAGCTTTGGCGCCCTGCATGGAATGTATGTGGATATCAGCATCCAAGCGAGGCTGCCCTTCAAAGCTTTCGATTACGCATTTGCAGGCGGCAAATTTGTTGACACCGTTGATCAGGGGAGAACCACTTACTGACAAGGTGTCAAGACAGGTTGGGGATACTGAGAGCTATCGGTTCTTAGGTTTTGCAGCCTCCAAGCTTGGAAACACACTCCTCCTAAGCGTTGGCTGGACCAGAAATTGACAGTTTTAAAAACGTTCAGTCTGCCAGCTTGGTGTGCTCAATCAGTTGAAAAGGTGTTGCCGCATTCAGGGCTTGTCCGGACTGATGCGGGAACCTATGCATGAGCAATTACTCTACGAAGCAAAAAAGCTCGAAGCAACAACAGATAGAGGGGAGCTCACTTGGACCACATGCCCTGCCGCAGCATGGAGCTTGCCAGAGGGAAAGCCACCAGAACTATGGCAACCATGCAAAAGCCGCTGATGGTGGTCCAGGTAAAGTAGACCTCAGAGTACGTCGGCTGGGGGGCGGCGCCAAAGTACCGATGGAATGTGTCAGGGGCAGCGGATATCTCCATGGGCCAAGTGCAGCTCATGAAAACCACCCCGTGGACGAAACCCGCGATTGCCCACGTCATGCCAAGGACCTGCAAGGGCAGCCACGGAAAGTCTGTTGAAACGCTTGAGCAGATAGTGAGGGTCACACGCTTATTGGAAAGTCTGGAAGAGTTTGGAAACAGAAGCTAGTACGTCTGTCAATGCTGCACAGTTGCCAAAGCTGGTCAGTTGTAGATTGCTGGTAAATTCGAACACTGCTGAGGAAAGAAAGTGGATAGCTGCTCTCAGGACAGCCCTTTTCAGCGCCAAGTGAAAGAGCAAATCCTCTGGTGTGGTGCTTAGGCATAATGTTTTCGTGGACGGCTTTCCTGCCTTTCTGAATTGTTCGGCCTGGCCTTTGACCTCAATTCACGCATTGTCCACCTTTGTGCCCCTCAACTTGTTTCAAGGCACGAAACCAGCCAGCCCCAACTCTTCCCACAGCTGTAAACGATCACTTCGGCACTCACCTTATGGAAAGAGATAAGCTCATCCACAGGGATCAGCCACTTGAGTTTCCCTCTGCCCACCGTAAGGAAGAAGCGCGAGACTGGGAGCAGCAGCAACAGCATGGAGAACTTGGTCAGCTGGGCACATCCCTTGGAGATGGCGACGCAGGGGCTGCAAAGAGGGAGGGTTTGAGCTGGCAGGCCGAAAAATTTGTCTTGAGGACCTACTGTCTTACTATAACACCGCATGTCGCTGTGAACTTCATTACTCAAATGCTGAAGAACAGAGGAGGGAGGCCCATGGCGGGTGAAGCAGTAAAGTAAAGTCCTGGTGGACGGTATTTAGTGTTCTGGTGCCCTTGAGACTTGGGAGAACTCATGAGTATCTAAGCAGCTGTGACTGCACTTAGCGGCGAGGGGCCAGATACCTGGAGCATCAGCAAAAACATTCCTTTGTCCTGAATCGCGTGCGCAGTCAATGGAAGCAGGTAGGCTCTTCAATGGCCAGTACTCTTAGCAGAACAGGAAGGAGTCTGCACTCACAAATGAGCGTAGTGCAGCTCTTTGAAGCAGAGTAGAGGCAGATTGAGCACAGTTTCACCCAGCAGAGGGGAATGCAGTAAAGCCCCTGAGCAGAAGAGCTGTGGATGTGTCAGGATATACACATTGGCTGAGCAGCTTGTAGACTCACCCAACCAAGTGCCAAGAAGGCATGGCCTTGTACTTGGCAAACCTCTCCCAGAACAGCGCCATGCACGCCAGGACATACAGGGAGAGCCAGAAGATAGAAGGCATATGGTTCCTGACACGGATGGTGAACCTCCCAAAGCAGGCTGCAATCCTACCAATCTCCCGGGGTTTATCCTCCCCCTCTACTGGCGTTACAATATCCAGCACCAAATCCTCTTTCATGGGGGCGTCCTCGGGAACAGAGGTAGTGCTGATCAGTCGCGCGTGAGATGAGGGTCTCCGTGAGCTGAAGGCAGGGCGGGGAAGGGGGTTGTCCCGCTCCTCGATAGGTTCGGCCGGGTGCCCGGTGGTGCTTCCTGCTGGAGCAGCCATGACGGAAGCTGACGTCCAGCCAGCTTGCGACAGTCGAACACGACGTCAAAAGAGAGCTCAGCTTCAGCAACTTTGTGGATTGAGAAGTTTTTTTGCCCAATCTCAAAGGAGAAGCTTGGGCCATATACAAGGCCAGTGAGCACGAGCTACCTCTAGGACTAGGGCCCCTGACTAGGAGAAGCCCCCAGTAGTATTTTTGACAGCAGGACGAAATCAGGGAATCTGGCCGGCTGGAACCGGGGTCCAGCCGGCGCCGGCTCAGCTGGCGGCCCGCACTAGCCGGTTGAAAACTCTCGTTGCCAGTGACTTCCATAGCTAGACTGATTCACGGGGATTCCCATGGACTGTTGTCCCGGCCATCCAGCTCCAGGCAGCCCCCCGGTTGCACGTCCAGTTAAAAATTAAGCGGTTGGCTCCACCGGCCAGCTGAGCCCACTACGGACCTGTCGATCCTACCAGCTACCGAGCTGGCGGGGATCAGTCAGGGTCCCTTCCCGGCCAGCCAGGTGCGCCCCGGCCAGGCTGCATGTTCACTAGTGTTGTGGGATCCCTGCTTCCAAGTGATTATAGCCGAGGGCCGAGAGTGATCGCGGATCGAATTGCCACATGTGTGTGATCACTGGGTGCCATTTCTGCGAATAAGACTTCAATTTAGGTAAAGTAAGCTTTAGGTAAAGTAAGCCAAGCAGCCTGGGACGGGTGGGGTTAGTTTGGGGGTTAGGGTGGGTGCGGGTGCGGAGCGGGTAATTCTGAGGGTTAGGTTTTTGGTGTTAGGCTGGGAGCTTACTATACCTACAGCTTACTTTACCTAAATTGAGGAGACATCTTCTGCGAAAAGCAAGGTACAACCTATAACTCTAGCGGATGCATGATTGGATTCTGCCGGGCCTACCTACGTAGGGTATGTACTCTTGTTACTGGTGCTATGGTACCTACCAGTACCACAGATCGCACTACTTTAACCTAGCTAGTAGGTTCAACTTCACCATTTTCTCGTATTGAGGTCAGGACCACAGATCGTGAGCACTCTCCCATTTCATATAAATGGGAGAGTGCTCATCTGCGGTCCTGACCTCAGTAGGTACGTGGAATGAACGATTTGGAACAACGATCACGTGTTACGACAAGTACCGATCTAGTACAGATTTTAGCTGGAGCGGCAGTACCGGGACTGTGTACAAAGCATTTTCCGGTAACGCGGAACTCCGGAGTCCGAAGAGGCTACGTAACGCCGTAGTGCACGCTAGCATTATTGGAGGTACCGTAACTTCAAGTCAGGGCAGGTACTGGTAGGTAACAGGTAGGTGTGGAAACCCTTCTCGCTTCCGCAGTACTCGGAGCATCCGGCGCAGCTTGCCGGTATGCTGATTGGCGACAGGGTACGGGCCCCGGGGCCATTGCTCTGAAGATTGAAAATTTTAGACGCCTACGATCATGCCAATTGGCAATCGCTGCTTGACACTTGTTCTCGAGGCGCGGCTAAAATCTAGCGGCTGAGGCGGAGGGAGTTCTCGTTCACCCCACATGCCCAGGCGTCGGCATGCTGCAACCGTCACCGCAGCAGCGGTACCGGTACAGTACCGTAGTCACTTCCGTGTGGTGTGCTGTAGGATTAGTAGACCCCGAGCATCCAAACTAAGAACCCTAACCCAAAAGCTTACGCGCTTCGCACCCCAACTTACCCTAACCACCGAGCCAACCCCACCCGTCCCCCGGGCACACTGCGGTTAGGGCACACTAGAGATACCATGCAGAGTGCACCGCATGCGAGACTGGCCGGTGCGGACAGCGGGATCCCTTCTCTGACAAAAAGTTCCGCATTAAATATCCAGGTACAGTGATTGACGTACTAATACAGTGCATGGGCAACTTGAAGTCTTGGCAATCAATGAAAGCAAAAGCAGATTTGCCGTGCGTTGAAGACAAAAGAATTGGCATACTATGTACCTATCCGCTATGAAAGCACTAATACAGTGCCCGTCCACCTTGCACCGTACCTAGGGTACTCGTATAAGCAGAGTGACTCCGGCCAGCACCAGAGCTCCAGAGCACCGTTGAGTCTTGCAGACACTGCCAGACAGTGCTAGCTTGCCAAGGTGCCAAGGGGTTGCCAAAAAGAAGTACGCGAATTACCCAGCACAGCCAGCTACAGTGAGCACCGGCATTGTCGTAACGCCGAAACGGCCGCTTCTGCCGCTTCAAAGCCAGAGACTCCGAGTCACTGCTGAGTCAGCCTACCACACCCTCGAAAGAGGTGTCTTCCGAACTCGTAATAGGTAGTATTCGCAAGCGGGTGCTCTTGAAGCGGCAGTAACTTATAGGGCGATCCCTCGGTACTCCACTACAGTGACTATCATAGCTCTGGTAGCTAGAGCTAATCAGAAGGGACTGCCGGTAACCTACAGTGTAAGCAATAATGCCTACCTACCGTAGTTACAGAAACCAGACTGGATTAGCGGACGTAGTACCAATTCTCCTGTGGCTAGCTCAGTCGCAGTAGCTGGGAGGCTCACTGAGGGATCATCAAACCACGGGGATCATCGGTGAGCACCCGAGTTGAAGCTGAGCTGCTCGTCTGAGTGCGGCAATCATCATGGGCCAGCAGCCAGAAGCCAGCCCAACACAGCATGCTCCGTTAGCCTCTATAAAAGTCCCATTCGCGGACCCCTCATGCAGACAAAGCTGCTCCATTCCCAAAGCCAGCTCAAACAAAGTCCGCTTCCCAAACTCAAAGTCTCAGCCAGAAGACCTCCCACGCACAGCAGCATGGCAATCTCGCTCAACTCCGTCCTCCAGGTGGCACTGGTTGTCGTCTTGGCGGCATCGCTCAGGAGCGTGGGGGCAGCAGACCCCGACCCCCTCAGCGACAACCCGTCCAACACCGCAAGCTTCACCTTCAGGGGCCTGGGACCCAATGGCAGCACCACCATGTCGGCGGGGGGCAGGCGGGCCGGGCTCAGCACCACCCTCTTCCCAGCGCTGACGTAAGTTCCCTGGGCTCCACTGTCTATAAAGCTGAGCTTGCTGCAAAACAGATAAGCTGCCAGCTAGCATCGCTTGATAACCTCTGATGAGTGAAGGACACTTGATTTCCAGAAAAGCGAGAGGGACAGCTCCAAGGCCTGGGCGGCAGGTCGTTGCTCTGATCCCCTGCTCAGATTGAGGCATTGGAAGTTCAGGAATCACTTCAGGTTGACACGGTGATGCTGCACCAATCTGGAAGGCAATGTGTGTTACGCAGTGCAAATCTATCATTCAAACTTGGTGGAATGCTTGCTCTCAGGTCTTCAATCCTGGCAAAAGTTATGGCCAAGGATAGCCACTCTCCGGCTGGCATAGTCCTAGGCTCGGATTGCAAGCCTGGTTAACGTTGTTGCTGAGCGACAGACGCTGTGGCTAAAGATCAGCGTGACATCAGAATTGCTAGGGTTCTCAGAAAGCCTAAAGCCCCTTTTTGATCTCAACTTGCAGGGGTCAGGGCATCACGTACGTCCGCTTCGATTTGGAGCCGTGCTCTATCAACGAGCCCCACACCCACCCCCGCGCGACCGAGCTCCTGGTGCTCGTGTCGGGGGGTCCCCTCCAAGTGGGCTTTGTGGACACAAGGAGCAACCTTCACGTCGACCTTATGTACCCCGGGGATGTCACCATATTTCCCCGGGGGTTGATGCACTACGAACTCAACGTGGGGAACCAGACGGCGCTCTTCTACTCGGCTCTCAACTCTGAGAACCCAGGAACCCTGGTGAGTACTGGATAAGCGCTTGAACCCTTGAGTAAATGTGTCCAGTACTTTCATGATTAATGCTATTCATTCTGCAGAGAGGTGCTGTGTTAAACAGTTAAGGAAGGTGTCTTTGAATTGAAGCTGGCGGTATGTCACAGTAGATACTAATTCTTTGGTGAATGAAGCAGACGGCCGGGCCTCTTGCGGCCAAGTGTGGATGATGTCTCTTTCCTCTGCGAGGAGCTCCAGCAAAAGGCGCATTGCAGTTAGCAGGACGTTCCAGTCTTTCCTTGTGGCCCTTCAAAGCAGGAGCGAACTGCATTGAAAAGCTTCTGGTTCTGAAGTGTGGCTCTTTACTACATTCAAAAATGGGCACTACCTTCCAGCATGAGCGTCAACCCCGTGTTTACTCGAAAATCGTCACCAGTTACTCTGGCGCCAAAACCTTGCTCGACGTGGGCTTTCGAATCTGACACCTGTCCCTTTTGTCTCCCAGCCCATTGCCAACGTGCTCGCCCAGATCCCGCGGCGGACGCTCGTTGCTGCTATGAACGTCGGCCCTAACGGAGCAGACGCCTTCAAAGCGGCCCAGCCGCCCGCCAATGGCATGAGCACGCTCATGAAGCTGGACTCGTCGGTCTGTACTCCGAACACCAGAGTTACCACCATGGAATGAGAAGTCGGCTGCTACGTGATTCCGCTCAAGTTAAGAAGTGACGGTCCTAGCTGAAGTAGCTAGTCACAGACCGACTCTAGCAAAATATGAGTCATAAAACCCCAAAGTGCCTAGAGGTGGATGAAAGGTTTTGATTGCAGAAATTGCCAGAATTACAAGTAAATCAGTGTTCATCAGGAACTAGTACGTACTAGGATCAGGACGTCCTCGACGTCTCGTAGCCGAATATCCGAACATCCCACCGTGGATTTTCCGGTCGGACGGGCGTCACAGTCGGTTCAGAGTTCCCTTTTCAGACGTTTGGAAAGCTTAGCAGTGTAGAGACCTACTGACTTCTATGGTCAGAACGCTTGATTATTAGGATGTTGCTGGAAAGAATCCATGAGCCGTCATATCCAGCTTCAATATCTTCAGCTTTCTTACAATCTTTTTTCAGTCTTCGTCACAAGGGACAAAAGTCCTGGCAGTTAGCTGAGAGTGCAACCATGTTGGGACTAGATCTTGACGTTCAATACCTTCGCATCATCTGATCAGTGACGATAGTTGAACATGAATATTTACGCGCTTGCCTCATGCATGGTTGCATATTTACCGTATTATGATGAAGTGCAGGACTGATACAGCATCATTTCAAGTTTCAGATTTCCCGGTATGTTCATGTCCGGCCAGCTAGCTAGTGTATGGCCGCTACTCCAGCCATGTTACCCTGACCACATCCTGATAATTCTGCAAGCCTAGGTATTCAAATCATTCAACGTAACGTCGTAAAGTAGCTCTTCGCGTTCATGTGCTAGCCGCTGTGAAAGAATATGACCATAATGAGTTCGGGCTTCTGTACGTAAACAAGTTACTAATCTGGTTACCGAGCAGTTCGTAACGAAGCAATCGGATGGCAACACCTGGATGGGGTGGTCGGACTCCAATTATAGGATGATGAACTTACTGCCATAAGCAAAACAACGTTTTGCACGTGGTACATGCAAAAGACAATTGGCAATTTGCGCCGCATGATCATGTTGAATACCATGCCCCGGCCGGCCCTCACCGGCCTTTCAATTGCATGATCAATCTTGGTGGCATGAATCTTGCAAGCTTCACGTATGCCAAGCTAGGCCTAAGTTGGCATGGGATTTGTGCGCGAGTCGGTCAGTTTCATCCATGCATGATTGCAATGTACACATTCAGCAGAGCTCTAATCGGATCATCAAAACAAGCTGGGGCATGTTGCGGCGGCGGCGTTCTAACCTGATGGAAATGTGAGTCAGGCCAGACTTCCAATGCAGTGCCAACCTAGCTATTGACAGTCTCATTCAAAACGACAAGAGCTGCAAGCAAGTATGCTTACCAGCCCGGCCAGAGACGGGTGGGGTCAGAATTGGGGGTAGATATGGGCTGGGCACCGTACATGTGCGCGGCAGGTAGATTGTAAAAGACAACATCCAAACCTTATGAGCCTCGTATAAATTCACAGAGGTACAAAAGCCTGATAATTGAATCACTCTACATATAGCCACTGGTACCGCTCAAGTTAGCCAGATCCGCACCAACACCGCAACCTCCTTTGTGAAGGATGGAAGCAAAAGCCTAGGCCTACTGGTTGTCGGGATCATTGTTTCGGCTGAGCCGTCAAGCCCCACAGGAGCAACACCACGCTCAGATAGAAAAGCAAACTGGACGAGGATTCCCCAGTCCGCAGCTCAAAGGGCTGTGCTGTTGATGCAAGGGCTGCAGTCCACTGCGTCCAGATATTGACCACACCAGTTGCCAAGGGAGACTCGTGCCAGTCTGCCCAGCCAGCCCAGTCAAAAGCCTGTAAAGAGAGTGCTCATTAGGGACTGTCTGAGATGAAGGATGTGTTTCATCTTTCGTCAAGCACAGAGATCCGGCGATACTCTCTGAATCTCATCCTTTCGCTGGACATTGGCGATCATGTATGAGCTGAAGAAGTAAGCAAGTTTGCTGCCGCCATTCGGCTGGCAATAATATGGCCCGAAACTGCATCAGTGTGTTTGATTCTGTTTGTTAAAGGCAATCCTCTGCATCTTAACTCTCCATACAGCGTGTCTGACCTCTTCAGTTGAATAGCAGCTGACAGCAATGCGTCAAGACTTCCATACAGTCCTTCGAAACAGATGTGATCAGAAGGTTGTGCAATAGAAAGTTGGGACAGAGAGTACAAGAGGAGAAGAAAGCAGCTCATGAAATAGGAGCCTTACCTCCAGGCCATGTCTGATGTCGTCAACATCACCCAAGAAAGAAGGATCTGAAGCCAGCGCAGTTGACGTGCTGGACAAATGAACAGAAAGTGCGAACCCCAAAGAGCATACACTTCTACTAAGAGCTTGACCGGCCGTCAAGCTTTCTTGAGCTGCGGAAACCTTTCTGCTCTGCTGACTAGGTGGATGCCATCTCCTAAGAGGAGCCCTCCTGCGGCTGGGTTGGGAACGGACTGTGGACTTGCGGCTCTCCCTCTGTGAAGAACAGAAGAGGTTGTGGTCTCGAATGTTGGTGGTTTGCAATATGGTTGATCGAGACTGACCCTTGCAAACTGGTGATGAAAGTGTGGCGATTGGGCTGGCACCTAAAGAGGAACCATGAGTACCACTCATGATCGTTCACCACCTGGGACCTTCCTTGAAAGAGGACGTCGACCTACTTCTGCTCAGCTCTGCTGCCGCGCTTTAGGACTCAGGTGAAATGAAGGCTCTCGCTGATCTGTGCAGCTTGCTACTTGTGTTTTCTTTCCTGACACCAGCTCCTCATCCTAATGTGATGATCAATGAGGACCACTATGTCCCTGGACGCAATCAACGTAGGTAGCCATCTAGATCTGGAAAGAAAGATTCTGAAGACGGTGAGCTCAAAGGCTGGGCACTTTGGACAAAGCAAGAACTGGCCAACATCTACCGTAAAATGACCGTGTGCAGCAAGTAGCCAGGAAGCTGAAGCTGGATGTGAATGAACTCCGTTCCAGTACAGCCCATCACCGGGACTGCCGGTTTTGGATGTTGATCAACTTTTAACTCTGAGTCTGAGTCTACGGTATAGTGACACAGCGCTGGCGAGAGACGGTTCTTCAACGTATCGTTACGCGGTGGCACTCCGAGTTTCTGAACATCATAGCCTCCGACATGGCTCTCTGTGCCACGACCCCGGACAGGAGCTCTGCAAGTCGCAAGGTCCAGGTCCACAGCCACCCTCCCGAATTTTATTCAGCAGTTTGCAAGACGCAGGCTTCCAACCTGTATTAGTCTGCATTGTCTATTGCTGGATTCAATGGTTCAACCTCTTCAAATGACATCTGTTGAGGTATAGGCCTGGCAGGTGCCGCTGAGCAAGTGAAGCCCGCTTCCGCATGCAGTTAGTTGCAGACAGAGTGGTCACGACAGCGGACACACAGGTTTTTGCGGCGCAGTTTGCGAGAGATCACATCAGGGGTCTGGCTGGTCATCACCAAGCAGACCAGCTCGTAGGGTCCATCTGAGGAACAGGATGCTGGCCGCACGGTGCCAGATGCTGTCTGCTGCAATTGGCCCTCAATTGCCTTCTGCAACAATTGTCGACCTTTCGCAGCCTGCAGAATGGGCCACTCATCTTATTTCCCAAACCCCCTTAGTGACTGCCATTGCCCCTCTGCTGACACCCTGCAATGCACCTTTCAACCTGCGGCGACACCGGAGTCTGCGTCGCTCCGTTGTTGCTTGCTCAGGATGTGGTGACTTTCCAGAGAGAAGCTTGCAGGGGGCCGACGGAATGCAGGAAGCTCTGGTTCGAGAAGAGTCTTTGGTTAGCTCCTCCTCGGAGGTGCGGCGTTCTCAGCTGCTTAGAGCGCTGCTGCTCGGAGCGGGCGCTTGTGCTGCAGGAGAGTGGGAGGAAAGCGCTGCTGCGACGGGGCTCATTTTGCTGCCGCCCGCAAAGCTGACGAATGAGTATTTCCTGGTCCGGGCAGGTGAGGGCTACCGGCAGAGGGCGCCGCGGCATAAGTTAGAGATGATACCAAGTGGACTTACTGCAAGTATGAGTGTTGCTTTCTGATGAAGGCTGGGGTACACTGAGTGATGTTGCTGTTTCTGTTTTGGACTATGAAGTGAAGGGCGGCGTTTCTCTGAGCAGAGAAACATGCCAGTGCACGTTCGTCTAAATCCCATGCAAACTGTTTGTGAGCCTGCGCGCTGCAGGAGAGTCGGAAGTGGAGACACAAGGGTTCATCATGACTAACCCGGTGGCGAAAACATCTATGGACAGCGGGCTGAGCAAGCTGGGGAGGCAGCAGGCAAGAGCCCATACCGCTGCTATAGGCTTCGTGACTTTGAACAAGTCTTGTTCGATCCTGTCTTGAGCTGCTGAAATTACATTGTCGTGGACTGCTATGTTGCTAATGTGCGGCACAGCCCGACGATCTTCGCTGGCTTCCCCCTTCCTTGAGCGCAGCGGTTGCAGGTTGGTTTGGACTGTTTGCTTATAACCACGACTTGTGCTCCCGTTGTAACTTCGGAAGTGAGGTTAACCATGAGGTTAGGCATGCTGAGGCCCTGCTTGGATAGCTATGTCTAAGCTGTGCTGAGTCAATGTGAGCTTGCTCTGTGCATCATGATACATACAGTACTGGTGTGGCATTATTCTGCCATCACTTGGTAGATAGTCCGCAGCATTTAACACTGACCTTGACATTCATTCCGCACCCTAAAAGCTGCTTCTCAATTGTTTTCCTGTAAAATTCTGTTTGATCGATTGACTAGACAGCGAACGCGTTGAACATTCGGTTCTCCCGATGCTGCCCCTCACCTCAATCGTGACTGCGAATTCTGTCATTCCATAGATATCAACACACCCTAAGCTTACAGGTGGCATTGTCTGGTTGTGCCAGGTGTTGTCCACCATCCAGCAGTTGCAGGACCTGGGGGCCTGCACCGCCAACTGCTGGATCTGGCCCTCCATCACACAAGTGAGCATCACGGCTATTTCTTGGCCCACAACGTACTGACTCTTGACCAAGGAGCAAAGTCGATATCACTTGGGTTTGGCCCTCAGCTCGATAGTCTTGTCCGGCCTTTCGACAAATCTTTCGAGCGGAGGGGCAAACCCAAGTGCTTTGACTTCATACAACGTCAGCCACTTGGGCAACCCGGCGCTCGTTCGATTCTTCTCCTTTCATCCAGTATCCGGCAAGTGCTGCCCTGCTATTCGAATCCTCTTTTAACACGACATATCTGTGAGCGAATCCTTTAGAAGCCCGCTAAAAAGATTCGCAGCGAGCCAAATAGCCGGGCTTCGATTAGTGCTTCAACAAAAGCGGTCTTCTACTTTCGGCCGTGCAGCGAGCGTATCAGACCGCTGAGCTGGTTGCCTCCGCTTTCACTGTCGGGCGGAGCCGCATCGTGCCGGAGTACAGCTTCCTGGACGCTCGCGGGCTGGGCTCGTATGAAGGGAGATCACTCGCACAAATCCAGGAGGTATGAGTCCGGTCTGGAGGTCCTTCTGCAACTGTTTGGCTTCCACTCTGCTCTACTTTGGAAGCCCTTCGGTCCTAAGGTCGAGCTGGAAATGCGAGTTTCTTATTTGGGACTTGAAGCTCGATTTCGGCTGCCCTCTGTCCATCCGACAGGAAAGGCTTTAAAAAAGTGCAGCATTACAGCGGATTCCACACATGTCCTAGCGTGCTATGCCTGCAAAGGTCCTAAGGTGTTGAAATCTGTCCTAGGCAGATTTGAGGTTGTGAGCATGTTACGATGTCGTATCTGTCTTGTGCTGCGACAATCTCCTCGCCATTGTTTGCTGACCTTTTCAGAGTAAAGCTGGTCGGAACACCCGAGAGAAAAGCTGTGCCGCCTCATGGTTTGAAAAAGGCGGGATGCTCTGCCTTTCAAGGGCCAAAGGCGTGGACTTCAGATCTTAGAACGAGAAGCGAAGCAAAATTATGGTTCAATCTCTTCCAGTCGTAAAATTCTGACGATGGTTCCTTTCTCCCTAGATATAGCGCAAGTAGAGGACAGTAATTCTACTTTCGTTCCACTTCTGGCTTCTGCTACGATGTGTGGAGGTTCTGTGAGCGTTGGCGTCTTCCATTGCCACCTTAATCGACCAAAAAACGCTCTGAATCGCGTCTTCGGCACGTTTTGTCTGTGTTCGAGTGGAGTCTCGGTCATCGCTTGACCAAGCTTAGAGCATGGTGACGACATTCATGACGTCGAACTGAGCGTGCGACTGAAGCAACGTCCTCTTTCAACGCCCGCTGCAGTGCAGCAAGCACCTCCGGAACCCGCCTCCGAACGAGGCTTGGCACTACGCAATTTTGTCATCTTCACAACTGCTTCGCTCCCTGACACAGCGGGGTCAAGGAGAATCAGTAATTTTAGGACCGGGGCCGGGGACGCTGTTGGAAGGACTGACGTGGCGGGGTTCATGGGCGAAACCCTGGGCTAGGCTGCTTTCGACCAAGCATTGATTGAAGTCTCCGGGTCAAAACTCAAAACCTCGCCACGTCAGCCTTCCAAGGCTCCGTTCGCCAAATTACTGATTTTCCTTGACCCCGCTCTGACAGGTGTACGAGTCGGACCGGGAGTCCGCCTTCTACCGCCCCCCCGCTTTCGTGGACGGCACTCCCAACGAGTCCGTGAACGACGTGTTGGTCCGGGTCCGGCAGCTGATGTCCATCCTGGAGACGCAGTACCAGGGGGACCAGGTCGTCATCGTCTCCCCCGACTCCGACAACCTGTCCGTGCTGCAGGTACGGCCGCGCTGACCGTGTCGCGCGTTTTTATACCCGCTTTTCGGCGATGTCCTTGCCTCGATTACGGATCGAGTTCGCCGTCGCTGATTGGGACAAGTGCTTGTTTGACGCCAATGGATTCGAAGGCTATGTTTTGACGACGATTGGCGTGACGTATCTGTTGTGTTTGTGGTTAGTTGACCAGACCAGAGCACTGTTGCTGATCGTCTGCAGAGTAGAAGCTTCAAAAGCGGCCGTTCCTTGTTTTCATGATTGTTGCCATCAGCGTCCGTGCTTCGAATCTTCCCGCGAACTCTGTGGGAAGCCCAGTTTCCACTAGCGGCAGACGGCATTTGAGTCCGCGTTTGACACGTCCGTTGCAGGCCGCACTCTTGGGCCTAGACCTGCGGCAGCACTCGTCCCTGGCTTTTCGCCCCGGGGAGGTTCGCAAAGTAGTCCTGAGTGGAGAAGCCCCCCCAAGGCCGACCAGCGGGTTCTTCAAATGCAAGCAGCTACGCAATAGGCAATGGGACTGCACAGTCTGAGCAGTGCGCGTTTTGAAGCAGGTTATAGTAGGGCGGTCTGGTGCCTTCTCGCAACAGGAGTTTGGTTGTGTCTGCCAAACTAACCATGTACATAGGTCACATTCTGTACCATGCGGCATGGCATGAGCATGCCGTAACGGGGGTAAATGGGCGTGTTGTTTGGTCTCAAGCCCTGGTGTTGTTCTATAACACACGGTTGCTGTTTTCAGCGCTCCTTACCTCGCTTAATTGGCATGATCGTGGCACGTTCTGAGCTTAAGTCGGATGTGGCCCAGGATCTCGATCTTCGCTTCAGCTCTCTATCCAGTGGTTGAAATGCAAGGTGTGGCAGTGTTGGATATGCAGATTGTGCCAAACTTCAGTCTTGCCGAGTCTGTGTGAGGTTGCAAAACGTCCGACATTGCAAAGAGCTAAAATTTGTCAATAGTATGATCGACGCCCTGCCATGTGCCGACTTCGCATTCAAAGATTGCATGGCTTCGGGAAGCCGCAACCGGCCGACATACCACGATCGACGTTCAATAGGTTGACTTCTTTGAAGTGGGCGGCCGCCGCTTTAGTATTATAACATGCAATTTCGCCACGTCTAACAGCCCGGTGTGCATAATGCTAGAATTATACACTTTAATTATTGTGGCATAATTAGATATATATAAAAACATAATTATATTACGTTTTTAGTGCATAATGCCCCTAAAAGTGACCGGGGGGTTACTATGCCAAGCTAGGCCCGGATGGTAAGAAGTTACTATACATGACGGCATCATTAGATGAGCCTTTTCAATTGGCCGGTGGTCGTACACTGATGAAGCAATAAATGTTATTAATGGCAGCCCGCATGCTAGACTCAACAATACACCTGCTCACTGTCACGAGCAGCTAGTATAAGGCGAAATCGACAACTATAGCTCACTACTACTCTATTAGTGTCTGAGTCCAGCTAGCACGTACCGTTTTTCAACGTGAACACCCTTCCGTGCCGCAAATGTGTACCGACCAGGTCACATACCGCTGCGCCCGGTTGGTACCACACTTGCACAGCGGCCCTCGATCCGGCACTCGTCATTGCCGGCGGGGTTGCCGGCCGGCCGGGTACAGTAGGTGGATGATCGCCACCCGGCGGGTGGGGTTTACCCTGCCAATTAAATTGGAACAGAGTTGATAGCTGACTGTGATACGAGCTAACTGTGACAACGGTGTATCTGATGTCGTTGCAATATGAGCTGTATATCGTTCACGCTAGCCTGCGTGCGTACTTGTGGCAGTTTTCTACATCCTACTCAGTGACTGTCGAAAAGCGACCCCGAAAAGCGACCGCGACGCATGCATAGCTGCAAGTGTGCTCAGATATCCCTCTCGCTCCGCTGGCCATGCCAAGGCGCTTCCTATATCTGCTTCCCACTATTGCCTACGTGGAGCCTCCCGTGCAGCAGTCTCGGCGCACCTTTCGCCGAGTCGAATCCACGGACACACACATAACCTGCAGGAGCGAACGACAGACAGATATGGCTTAACGTAACGGGTTTAGCTCTGAATATCCACCTTCGCGTGCCTTCTCCAATCTTGTTCATCGATCGTCATGGTTAGGCCAAACGTGAGGGACTGATCTGAGGTACGGTGCGCGTCCGGCGGCCTCCACAACGGCTAGTCGCAAAAAAAAAAAAAACTGACTGTGAGAACTCTTGGCATAGGTCAAGATTGCTCCTTCTGGTATCAAAAATTTGAGTTGGTTTTGGAGGTGATCCGCCCTCCTTTCTGGCATGGCGGTGCGCCCGCAGACGCGCATGATCCGGCCAGCAGCAATGCAGACCATGGAGACTTTACTGCGTACTACCCGAGTACTCTGAGGCCAGAACGATGCGCCAGACACTTTCATTGGTACGCGTGCAATAGATTGACGACCACGTTTGATCCTTAAAACCTCTCAAAAGCCGCCCGCATAGAGCTACGAAGGCCCACTTCAAACCTCGTCATGACTCCGAAACGCAGTACGTTGAAACCTAACGTATGTGGGTCCCGCTTTGCACAATATCTGTGCGTCATGCCGCAGTTTTGGACAACTTGGCGTTGGACGCGCCCGTGGAAGACTTGCCCCGGTTACAGGAGATACGGACTACTCACACCAACGCGGAACCAAGCTGCAAGTTCTCACCGTGCTCAAAAGCTTGTGAAATCTCATTCTGTGAGCACCCCTTGAACAGACTCCCGGCGCCGGTGCCAAAGTAAACCTTGGTGCGGGGCAGGTCCGCGAAGTCGGCAGCGGGCGCGGCGGGGGGGTAACTAGAGGTGCGGTCGTCTGCAAAGAGCTCGTTTGCTTGGAAGTGGGTTCCGTTCAGCGGGAACCGGCCGGAGAGAGCGGTCCGGCAGGGGACCTGCGCCGAAAGATGCGTGGTGTGAGTAACCAAAAGGTCCTGGAGGCGCGGACGCCCGCTTCTTTTGCATTTCAGAGCCGCTGCGCTGAGGATTTCTCATAACAGCGCGATGTGGCGGTGTTCTTTGGACATTCCCTTCTAGAAAGAGCTGACAGAAAGCTGCGATTCTCAAAGTGACACGTCAAGTGCGTCAGTTCTTCGAAGGGATGGCGGTTGCGACACTGAGACGGCCATAGCTAACCTGCAAATGAGGTTTGTTGATGCAAACGATCAATGTGGACGCCTTGATGTTACAGAAGCTTTGTGAGCCAGCTTATGTAAGTCACGAAATGAGAGACGGTCATGTCCTAAAGAAAAGAGCCCCCATCGCCTTTGCTTCTGCTCCTTCGACTCAACTCGCACAAGGCGCGCGAAGCGACATCGCTGACCTGACCGTTCAGAGACCCGTGAGTTACTTGCCTAGTCCTTAAGAACCACCTTTCATCTTTCAGACCCAAAACAAGAGAATTCTCAGTCGCCTGTTGAGTCGTTCAACTGCTTCGTGACCCACCAGCACGGTGAAGTACACCGTTCCCTCCACGTGGCAGCCGCAAGTGCTGCAACCGCAGGGGACCATCCCAGCCGCTTTTTCACCCGGTATCGTTCCGCCCATGTCTTCAAACTTCGCTCGAACTTTCCTCTCCGCTAGTCCCGCAGTCTCCTTCCTATCAATGGCCGGCACGTCAGTGAGACTAGCGAGCCGCTTGAACTTCACCACCTCCCGTCCGTGATGCGCACACAGGTCCTGCCGCATCTCTAGTTGCTCGCGGAGGCTGATATTCTCCGTCCAAACAAATTCCAAGCCGTCGCCTTCCTCTTCTTCATTTACGAGGACCCCGCACTTTGCCCTGCTCTCAGGCTTGCTACCTCCACCAGCCCCCCTGTCGCTTGCGCCCCACGGCAACGCTGAGTGCTCCGCCTCATCTTTGACGCTACGTGCGCGCGCGCGAGTATGAAGGAACACATCATCCGCTGCGCTTTCCAGGTTGATCTCCTTCCGCTTCGAAACCTTCCGGCGCTCGTCCGTTTCCGGAACCCCCAGGACCAGCGCGGCATCCGCACCCCCCCTTGAGTAACCTCTGCTCCCTCTCGGCCGGCACAGGACGGGAGTCTTCACAACACTGCCGTCCGCTTCTTCGTTTAGCCCAGCTACCCGTGCCGCTCCAACAAAAGGGCCAATCTGAATTGGCATTCTCCTCTCGGTATCTTGTTCATCTGCCTCCCACATTGCAAAACCACCGCCCGGCACACCCTCCGATTCAACACTCTGCGTGCCGCTTTCCTGCTCCGACCGCCTCGTTCTGCTACGGCTCATGACAGCCTGGACAGCTTCCCCCGGCTCCTCTTTGGGCAGCTTCAGCTTCGACAATGGCCCCTCTCCGTCGTCCCAATATTTCTTTCGTTTGCTGATCACAATGCTACCGTCCGTTTCTTCCGGCTTCAGGTTGGGGGCTCTCAGGGTTCCACAAGTCCGCCCCGCAGTCACCTCTGCTGTGCACCCCTCCCTGCCAGAACAAAGCCCTGCCCGGGCCGCACTGCCTCGTCCACCCCTCCGCTTCTTCGAAGAGTTCGTCGAGATTTGGACTGAATCTGTCACAAATCCGTCTTCCTCTATCTTGACAGGGTTGACGTTGTGAGGACCACGTTCGTGAAGTACGACAGTTTCTAAGTCCTCAGAAAAGTCCCCGCTTCCTATCTTCCGAGCCGATTGACCTTCTTCTTGCTCCAGCTTCTGCTTTCTGCTGCGGGTCATGATTGCAGATTGCTCGGACAAGGGTTTTGATTTGACTCCCTCCTCGTTCCTGCAGGAAGCGCTGTTCGGCTGCTCGAGAACCTCTTCCGGCCTTTTTCGGTTCGACGCCACGTTCTGCCGCCCATCTCGGCTTCGCGGCTTTCGCGCCGCAGGAAGAAACATGGGGAAGGCGAGCGGAGCCGCTTTCGGGAAGACTTGGAGGCCTTGGTGAGGGTACAAGATGGGGTTTGTAGGCCACAGAACCGCAAAATACGGAATTGAATCCGCTGGGTCGCGTTTCAGAAACTGCAAGGAGGCTGTCCAAAACTTGGTTAAAAAGAGGCTCTGTTTGAAATGATGTGTGCTTTGAAACGTAATATGAAAGATCAGTGGCCCACCGTCGCGCTGCACGTATGTTCTGAGCTTTAAAAAAGATTTTTCATTACTGCTGACGTCCTTTCCAGTGGAAGTGGGAACATTCAATTGATGAAAGCACATCACCAAGATGCCAATCTCCACACAATCAATTTGACCGACTGTCCATAGACGGGCCCAGGTTGAACACTGAATATGCGTCCAGGTTGAAACATTTGCTGCATATCTGAACGAGCCCACGCGGATGCGCGCGTATGAAGAGCGCGGTAAGTAGCGCGCGCGCGCCTGCTCTACCTACCCCTCGCAGCGCCGGGTGGTCGTCTGGCAGCCGCACGGCGTGGCGCACCGTCCGCAGCTTCTCCGGACGCAGGAGCGGAAGCGCCCAGAATTGCGTGCGCGCGCTCCTTTGTATGGTGCCCACGCCCTTGCTGCGCGCTTCAGCGGCCGCGTCTCTGACGGCCTCGCGCAGCGCGCGCATGTCCTGTTCGGCGGGCTCAACCGGGACCTTCGGAGAAGGGGCAGGAGGCTGGTCCGAGCGCAAAGTAGGGAGCGGCCGCGAAAGCTGCCTCTCTCTGCAGAAGGAAAGCTCATCAGTGCAGCTTGCACTCAAACACCGTATCCCGACTGTCAAGTTGCAGGGGTTCTCGACGAATGGTTTGAGCTGCAAAGCTAGCGCACACCTGCCATAATTCTTCAGAAAGCATCTTGGTTTCAAATCCAAATCTTACTAAACTTCTTTCTCTACGTCCGTGTCTAGAATGTTCTCAAAATGCTACTCGAAAACAACGATGATGGGTCGTCCGTTTTTGCCCGTAACCTGAGGCGCTACTAACACTTTCCCCCTTTTTTGGCCAAATGTAAGATCTGGCTAATCAGGTTTGTAAGGCATCTATTTTGCTTCAACAGGTTTTCGATTTCAGCCGTTCAAAGAGCACAGGCAACATTGATTCAATTCAACCCCAAACCGGAAACCTTCAAAGTTCTGGTGTTTACTTGTGGGCTCTGGCGCTCTCGAAGTGCTTGCATTCTCCCTGCATCGGGCAGGCCAAGCAGTTGGGCGCCCGCTTGGTACAGAAGACCTGCGGAACGAAGGGGAAATTTCATGCAACGACTGGACTTTCCCCATAGACGAGTAAGCTCCAAGTACTGCCTCACTGTGGCTTCCAGGAAGTACGTGAAGAAGAAGAATTGGATCTTTCTTTTTAGTCCGTCCCAGACAGGAAAGCACTTCGAGGAAAGCAAATTGTTCAAGCAGCTGCAAGTCTCTTCAGATCCTCGCTAACGGTGCATCAAGCGTGCATGAAAATGCCGTCCTGATGATGCTGTAAGTTCGTAATTATAAGGAGAGGCACAAGCCCCTGTTAATTTTCCGGGGACTTATTTCACTCCCCGAAGCCTGCTCGTGAAGTTCCTCGAATCGACGTTTATTTCTAGCTAGGTTGAGCTCACCTTCCCAAAGGTTATGAGCTGGCAGTGCATTTCGTACAGGGTCTCCACGTCCAGGTGACTCAGTCGGCGCCAGAGGTACTCTTGGATGCGCTTCTGAATCGGGTACCTGTTAGCTATCCGAAGACGCGTTGAATAAGAGACCATCAGGGACCGGAGTCAGCATATTTATGGGTTTGGATCGACTCTGCGGACACCACACCGCTGTCGTCAGTTTGGAAGACGCCCGGTTGCTTCTTTCGCCACGGCTGACCGTGACGTCCAGCTGGGCGTCAGCTCTCTGCTTTGACTAGCTGGCGCACATCGCGCGTCTCGTATTGTGGGGGCGTGTTTTAGAGCGCTAACGCACCATCTACGAAGGTGCCGTTGAACAACCTTTCCCCTGCTGACCTTCCTCGATTCTACGGGTGCAAAAGCGCTGGCGAAACCGGTTAAAGACGGGGAGAAAACGGTGTGCGCGCACTCACTGTTCTAGCAGGTGCAGCTGAAGCTCCTCGTCAAGCGGCTCCAGCGGCACCCAGCCCAGGCGGACGGAGACGCGGCCCACATTGGTGTCCACCTGCGGAACGGAAAAGAGGGCCCACAGTTTGGCTGCTAACCAGGCTGATAAACAGACTGGAGTTCCAGGTTATTGGACAAATAACGGGTTTCAAGGCTGGTTACTGCCCACGTCTGATCAATGGACACATGACCTTTTCATAAGCAGCCCATAGTTATATAGCCAGCCCATAACCATCCTTGGTTAGGGGGCCGCAAATGCCTGAGGGTGACCGGCACATCAAACAAAAAGCTCGGAAAAGTTGGGAAGACCTGAAAATGCACCGTATTTTCCTTAGGAAGCATCTCCGGCTTTAAACATGCGCGACCGGAGACGCACTCCTGTCGCAAAAGATGCCACGGACCGCTTTGTGCAGAGACGGGCCTGGCGATTGCGTTTACTAAATCTACGGACACCCCGGGCTCTTGCGTGCTAATCTGACCCGTGGTCAATTCACAACCAGTCGTCTGGAGATTCTACGCTAACCAAGTGGGAATCAATTTGACAACGCCGAAGTGGAAAGAGTTCAGCAAAGAAAAACTTGGTTTTCTTACCGGGAAGGCGGCTTTGTGGAGACAGAGCAGCAGGATGCACTCCGCGCTCTTGAGCCCCATGCCGTACAACGAAGTGATGTAAGCGCTCGCGCGCTCTCGGGAGCACTCGCGCAGCCACTCCAGGTCGATGGTGCCATGGTCGCCCCTCACCTTGCCCAGGAACGCCTTGATCCTGAGTAGAAAAGTGAGACACGTATCAAAACGTGAATGTTCTACTGCACACCTTCTTTTTAACGTGGAGGTAGATAGACAATCTGGTGTCGTTTGTGAGTGGACCTCGATGTGGCAATCTGACCGGAGCGGTTTCGCGGGGCACAAAGGGGAACCTTTTGGGTACAGCTGCGCCACTCAACACTTCTGACGGGTTCTGCCACTTCGATTCTTCGTCAATATTATACCAGCCTGGTATACCGAGGTTACTGGCAGTAACTCCAGAGGGACGTGATGATAGTCAGATTTCTGCCCGGCCTATCGACGAACTCCTTGAAGATTGATGCTGTTCAGCTTGCTCTGTGTGTCCACGCTGAAAAGCCGCTTACCTCGCAGCAAGCCGTGTCTGCTGGCCCCGTTCTCTGATCACGTCAGCAATTTCCGCTTCATTCGCAGCCAGCACGGCATCCCAGTCGACACAGTCTTCGTGCTCCGGTGGCTTTCCTGGACCACGTGATCCCTCTTCGCCGCGACACGTGGCCGCCGCTCGTCCGCGTTTGGCGGCCTCATCAGCCGCGGTCACTCCGCTTGTGAACGCTATACCCCTTCCGTCCTCAATGTCTGCGATGTTTGGTTCTCTTTTGAGTCGTCTCAAAACGCCCGCTTGATTTTCGGTGTCCTTAGCAGCTTCCCCATGTTGATACGCCCCTCCCGCTTCCGTGCCGAGCGACGTTTCTGCACCCGTCTTCGAAATCCTACCTGGCAGGTGTTTTGACCCCACTCCTAGTTCCTCCTTGGGAGAGGTATTCATTGGTTCCGTCGCTTCCGGTTCCGCAGACTGCCCACTCTCAGCATCGGTTCCTGAGCTCGGCGGACACTTTTCTGTGACCTGGTCTTTGCAGAGTCCACCATTCGGACGTCCTTTAGACTCGACGCCGTCCGTCTGTTTGCGGGCGTCCGAGTCGGGGCCCGGCCCTGGGGCGGACGCGACATCCGAGGAGGGCGGCCGCGGGACAGCGTCCGGATTTGAGGGTTCAAGTCCGCGGCCGCGCTTCGGCCACCGCGCCACCATGCTCTGGAAAGCCGAGCTGTGAGGAGAAGGAGGCAGGTTTCGAGATAATAATGTCTCAAAAGCAGAGGCGATCGATCAATTTGAGCTCTTGTACAGAACCTTGAGCGGGTCAGTTGTTCTTAAGTACTCGAAAATTGCATTCAGTCGCGTCTTCCATCTCAGGAAGAGAATTGGTCCACCTCCAGAACGCTGACCATCAGCCAAAAGTCACGGGTTGTCAAAAAACAGTTTGGTGCTCGAATGTTGCAAAAGGAGGCCTGGATAACTTGCAGACAAAGGGGCCTGGAGACACGTGCTGCCCCCTTAAAAAAACTCTGGGCGCTTGACCTGAGTGCCCAACCGCTTGTGAGTTTAAACCATCCATTACTTTTCTCTTTGAGCAAGAAAAGCTGTATTGTTTGAGTAGAGCAGCAGTTGCCGTGTTCTCAAACCTGAGCTTACTGATGCTGGGTTTGAGCTGCTCAGGAACCAGGGTGGTTCAAAACGACTTGCCTTGAGACCGTGTCGGAGACGTTTTGCGTCAGGAACGCGCCCACTACGGAGTCGACCACCGAACCTTTCCATGCCGAGAAGCGCCTCTCGCCTGCAGTAAAGGGACCGCATCGACCCTACCTTTGAAGACTGGCGAGTTTCAAACACTTGGGGCACCATGGAACGAAATCACGCACGCAGATCTGCAGGGACTCAGCTCCCTAGCGTGCTCGGAGAATTGTTCTGGATTACTGGTTATAGCGAGTTAGAAGGTAACGTTGGATTGAGAGACGGCCGGCGGAAAGAGCCCACGGGGCACGCTTTGGGTCTTGGACTAGCTCGTAAGTTTAAGCTGAAGAAAAGGATTGACCCGGGTCCAACGCTACCGCTTCTTCAGTGCCCGCCGTGACCGTCACGGCCGTCGCTGACTGTTAAAATGAACTTCCAACCCATTTTTGGCACCAGGCTAGAATTCTTCCAATCCACAAACACCTTCCGAAGCGGATGACTGCCCCTTTCCTAGTGCGTCAAGCTAGAACGCGGCTCTGTCTGCCTTACCTTGTACAACTCGCACACGGGCCACGAACCGTCGCGCCGCTGTTTCCAGCGCCTCCCCCCCTTCAGCCGGCGTTAGCGAAGCACTCCCTGGCTCGCCGCCCGGCGTGAGTGCTAGCTTAGTGGTTTCTATGTCCTTGATCACGCGTGCTCGCTTGAACCGCCTCCGTTTCTCCGCAACGGTGTCGACCGGGACCAGCTCTGTCCCTGATTTGTTTTGGAAAAGTTTCTTGGGCTCCAAAGGCGCTCCTCCAAGCGGGGCCATATTGACAGCCTGACCCGAAGCCGGGGGTGGCTGCTGCAGACTTTCGATCATTCTGCCGGCAGACGATGGCGATGGGCGCTGCCCATTAGTTGCTGCCACTGCAGAATGACACCTGGGCCAATCCCCCGACCGCGTCCGGCAGAGACGGGGACCTAGGAGCCCAGAAAGCTCTTTGCTGCCCAACTGAATGAGGTTTTTGGGGCACTGGCATTTGAAGTCTGGGTTCCGTTGGCTCCCCGCTTTGCAGTGGGGGGAAAATCCGCGTTCTGTGTCCGCAGACGTTCCTTGGATCGCCCTTTCCGTGCTTCCTACTTTCAGCTTTGATATCGAGAGCTTCAATGGCGTGGCGGCTTCCTGGCGGCAGGACGCTTGAAAGCCACTTTTGTAGGCAACTAGTTATCCAAAGACACTACTCCTGAGTATGCCGGTTTTCGTCCCTACGATGACCAACATGCACGATTGTCGACCGTACACTCAGCATAACTTCTTCAGTCCTTTGAGATCGTGTGAACGTCGACACTAGATTCGTCTCAGACCACATGCATTCTTCGAGGATCACTAGCTCCTTCGGGTCTGCGCCGGTCGACGGCCAATCAAAAGAAGGGGGAATGTACGCCGTTTGTTTGGATTTCAACTTTGTCGCTTACTTCAGTGATCTTAGTGCGTACCACTGCAAGATGCAGGAAGAGCCGCTGCGTGAGATCGTTCGCTCAAGCGTGGGACGTAAGACTACTGCCCGCGAGCCTGAACAACGGTAGGCGGCAACGCGGGCCGCCGAACTGGCAGTTGAAGTCACGTGCCACTCACCACTGGCATGTCAAAAGCGTGAACTTCAGTGCCGGCACCGATCCGCTGCATGCGACATCCGTACTGTCAGCTTCATTCTTAGCTTCCAGCAAAACCAATAATGCGCAGCCGGCGCGCAATGTGATCGACATGCAGATCGATCATGCACTGCGCATGGTTAATATGCGCATGTTAACCGTCTCAAGCCAGAACATGATGCAGACGCCGCCAAGAACATGATGCAGTCCACGTACACGTGGCTAGAGTTTGATTGGTCACTGGGCCCTGCCGAAAAAACGGACATGCATTCTGCTATGTAGAAATGACCATCATCGATCATTGGATTCCAGCTAACACCTTGAAGCTAGAGTCTGCTTACCGTAGCAGGCTTGGCAGTTAGTAGCCGGGCAAGATCATACCATAGCTTCTGAAGTTGGGGGACTCCGCGACGGGTAGTCATAGATCGGCGATTGCTCGCCGGTAGGCAACTTGCATGTCATCATGGCATGCCCAGAGGTTATGCCATAACTATGTCAAGATGATGTAGTACTAGCCCAATATCAACATCGATCGGATGCGCTTGCACAGTACGATCTTTTCGCGGGCCACTGCCATAATTGCTACTGCACCGGCACAGTTGAGGCACTAGGCAGCACTTGTATGCCGATCGAGCGCAAGTTGAACCTTACTGGCGCAGACTTTATGGGTTAAAACCTTGAACAATAATCGAAGCCCGGCCTGCCGCGCTGAATAGCAATTAGCTAGAATGGTCAAGCAGAAATTACAACTAGGTTGCTCGCCGGCGTCCCCAATCTGGTCCAGCTTACTGAAGCCTGAAAGTTTACTTAAAGTACTACATAACCCCTCCACAGATTAAAAACTTCAATCAGGGGCCGCTTGCAAGAATAACTGTGCTTCCAAATACCGGTCCTTGCAAGTACTTGCGTTGCGGGGCTTATGCGTTACAGAGAACTATCCAACCGGTCACTCCAAGGAATAGCATCAACAAAAAGGAAGTCGTGGTCTAGGTGACTGTATAACTTTGGATACATATTTTGGCAGTATTCTGTCACTCCTCTTCTCTACTGGTGCCCAAAGTGGTACTCTCTTCTACCAGATGATCGCGGAGCGAAGCTCTCAACGCTTCTACCAGAGTCGGGAACCTCTCCAACACGTCAAACAAGTCGGATATAAGCAAGCCCAGCACGGTGCACTCGTCTTCGCAGGTTGCTGTGAGATCCATCCGCACGTTTTTGACCCGGATACTCTTGAGGTCGGTGTCCTTCTCCTTGGCGGCCGGCACGTCTTTCTTCGTCTGCACCAGTACGCCCGTGAGGCACCGTTCGCCGATAACGGTCCCCGGCTCTATGAAGTAATACGGCGGGCCCTCGCTGCTCGAGGGGTCCTCCCTGCAAACCCGTCAGCTTGTCAGCGGTAAGTTGAGAAGGAGCCAACTGCAACCAGACCATATGGGCGGACTCCCTCTTGGCGAAAGTAAGCGAACCCCAAAGGCGTTTCGGTCGGATCGACCTAGCTAAACAGCGCAAGAACCTTCTATCCGAAGATTGGCAGGATGGCCGCCTCCATTCACTAGGCCATGCAATGTTCCGTTTACGAAAGCTCGACCGCCTTGACAGCTGGACGTAACCGAAGGCGGGTGCGCTTGTCGTCCCCCATCTTTTGCCACTCCTACGAAGTCAGAAGGCCCACGTTGCGAACCCGGCAATGACAAGCTGACAAACTGGAAACCGGAAGAGTTTCTTCGGAGGCAAGCCCCAGAACTGAAAGCTCAAACGCTGGCACTTACGTGTCCGAGTGCCGCCGTTCCGGGGTGGAAGTGACGGAGCGATGCCGCCGTCGGGTGGCCCCATCAGAGTCAGACCCCGTTTCGGAGCTTCCGGCGGTGCTGGACGAACTAGAGGCGGGCAAGTCGTCGCTCCTGGTAATCTTCATGGTGCCGTGACGGAGGATGTACACGTGGCGCATCACCTCGCCAGCCTGGCGAGTTACAGATTGAGAACATGTCAGAGAGAAACCGATTCGGCAGCCAGCGCGTTTGAGCCCAAAAAACACCTGTTCCTCAAGTTTGAGATTGCTAAGATCGAGATTCTTTCCTTGTTTGCTCTATACACCCAGGAGATACGGAAGGCAACCCTCCAGCTGGCAGTCAATCCGTGTCGCGTCGGTGTAACTGACGTTCTGAAACGCTAAAACGAAGAAAGAAGCGAGCACCGGTTGTCCTGGGAGGGCGGGTATGGAGAATAGGATCCAAAATTCCTGATCTGAAGATTCCTATTTTCGGGATTGCAAGGCCACGTGTACCAACTCCATCGGGCGCCTTCTACGTGATCTGAGCCCCAAACCGAATATTGGACGGCTTCGATCGATTATGTAACTTCTACCGGGCATGCTCCGGACAATTGGAAACGTGCAGACTGGCAAGCTAGGGGATCCGTTACCGGCGTAGTTCAACCCCCTACGCTAGCTTCCCGAGATCCGAAAGGTCCTGAGATTGGGAACCTGAGATAAGATCCTATTCTGCATACCCGCCCTCCCTGGCGACCATTCAGAGTACTCACAGGAGCCGCAGTCGCCCTCACCTGGCATAGGACGCTTCCCGGTGCCAGCTGTTCCGCTTTGCACTTCTCGAGGAGCATGGTCAAAAAGCTCCGCTTGTGAGGAAACAGATCGCTGCAGAGAAGGTCCGACGATATGAAGTGAAAATCACCTTGAAGAAACTGGGCCACGTAAAAGAACAGCCAGCTCCCACCTCATTGCGCTCAGTGCGAGCGGATAAAGCGGAGCCGGCAGGCACAGTACGATGCGAAAGCCGCCCAGGCGATGCCAGAAAATGGGGCCTTCCGCAGTTGAACCAATGTAGAACCATTGAGTGCTTGGCAGAAAGGCTAGTCACCGAGTTAGAAAACGGATTCTGACCGTCAGGATAAACACAAGACCTCTTATCCAGAAGTTGGCTACTACCCTTCAGATCTACCCACCAGTGCGCCCATCGTTCACGTCATATAATTTCCAGCCGTTGCAGCTCTACAATCTGCCTGAGCACGACAGTAGCTACGTACCCCGCTGAGAGACGATGAGCACCCAAGTTCACCAAAAGTGAGGCAGAAATTTCGTCATTCTTCGAGATTGGCAATTTCAAACCGTTCAAAGAAAGCTCGAAAACGTCACATGCACTTCCCGGATACGACAACAGGTCAGCGGACCCGTGTTCCCGGCAACTTCGCACAGCGACTCACCTCTCGACCACTGTGCGCCTCCACCAGTGCACCATCAGGTCCATCCGGAGTTCATCCTGCACCGGGTACCGCATAAAGTTTTAGGGTTTTACAAATTCACGGTTTTGAGATTTTAGGGTTTTAGGGTATTAGGGTTTTAGGGACTTGGTTTAGCCTGACCCAATTGGACACAGTGAAAGCACGGAGACGACTGAAGCAGCCCTATGCCGGGCCAGGGTGCGAGCGATCGGCTTCTCCGAAGGTTAGCCTGCAACGGACCAGCTCTCGGGGGTCCATTGCAGAATCTTGCCGGGGGCGTCGCTACGAATGATGATGTGCGTATCTACTCAGAAGAGAGCCAATACCGTTGGCGATTTGTTTTGCCTCGAAGCATCGTTTCAACTGCCTAAACAAGCGCGGACGGCATACCATCGACCAGACGTTACTCAGCAAAACTGTCAGCTTGAAAAGCTCCAAAAGCGATTCCTCTTTTCTAGACATGATTCACCGACAAGCGCTTGCGAAGTCAGGAGACGCATGCCACACAGCAAGCCGCGTCGTTTGCGGGCTCGTGCGAACATGGTCCATCTTTCAAAGCCTTCCACAGAATAACTGCAGTAGAAGAGTACTCGAGAAGGGGATCCTGCTGCAGTGTTCCAAACGCTGAGTTCATGTTGTCCAGTGGCTGAAGTTTACAATCGGTGAGTTCGCAGGCCAACTTCTGAGGGAGACTTGATCAAACTTACGGTAAGATCCTGCAGCATTTGCTCTTCGTCGAAGTCCGCCGCTTGCAGATTCCATTGGCGGGTCATGTGCACAGTCTGTAGGCAGAGAAGACAACGTTGACAATTCGCGCCGATTATCAGGGTTTCGCATCCTGGTTTATGTTTTCAAACGAGCCCAAAACTGAGAGCGAGCTCGAAACCGATGGCTCAGAACCGACAAAAGGAAAGCTACAGGCAGTCAACCTGATCATTACCATTCAATACTCTTCAAGTCGATGCCGAACCTCCGCTCACATGAGCAAACAGTCCAGGGAGGCGCGGAGTATTCTTACGCGTCCGCAAGTGATACTAAAATCTCCAAAATAGGACTGGTCATAATCTGACTTCCTCTCAGCATCCCAACAGGGCATAGACGCAATTCCGATGAAGCAAGTCTCGGCTGCTGTAGCGCCAAAGCTTGTCAAGGACAACCGCGTGATTGGAGGTAACGACAGCGAGTAACAAATCCTAAACTGATTGAGGCTCAGTCCGAAAGAAAAGGAGGGGTGAATGACGAGAGCCGCTCACGATGCGCGTTGCCAGCCAGTCGGGAATGTCTTCTTTGTCTATGAACCTGCATGAACGGCGCCGAATGGCCAATCAGGTTGCATGACCGACTCTGTGTTCTGCAGGCATGAGGGCCGCTGTTGCGAGAAGCTTTGCGTATCAATCAAGCATGAGTGCAGGCTGTAGCAACTACCGACCCTGAGATTCAAATCTGGTCAGACGGTGCGGCTGCCGGTTGTGATTCACGAGAGTAACCGTCAAGCAGAAAGAAAACAATGACGAAAGCAGGCCGTCAAGGGAGTGTGACATAGTAGCGGAATGTGTAAACCGAGGAGCTTCTACATGCCTCTTGTTCGTGTATGTGGCCCTGGGCTTCAGAAATATGATCAACTATGCAAGAGATCCCGTTTCACTCACCTTTCGCAAGCGTGCTCTTGCATCCAAGCCCCTACATTTCCTTAATGCAAGGTCCTTTCTACGGAGATCTTTGACCGGCTTCTCAAGAGCACCGGTCGATGGTACCCAACTACCCTGGATAGAACTCCCTTTGGCGACTGCTTTCGCTCTGCATTTACGCCGGACTGAAGTTTCTGAGCTTGTCGAACAAACGTACATCAAGAGAACAACAGAGCAAACAAGGAATAGGCGCACAAGGAGAGAAATGCAGGGGCACGCAGGGCCGTACGCGTGCAAGGTGGAGAACTTTTCGCGGCGCACGGACTGGCGCTGTCCCCGCAGGATGAGCAGCGCGGCGATGTTGCCCCCGACGTAGCCCAGAAAGATGGCAACCACCGTGATGAACAGCGTCGCAAAGATGCGCTCCGCACGCGTTGTGGACGGGTAGATGTCGCCGTAGCCGACCTGTGGGTAGCGCGTTGGTAATGTGATCAACAGTTGTAAATCGGCGAGTGGGATATCTAGATAAGAACAAGTGATAAAATCCACATCGAACGAAGTGTGGCAAGGCTTCAAGCCAACAATCAACCGCCCACATGGCTTTTTCGAGCAATGGGTCATTTCAGATGAGACCTGATCTGGTGCCCGAAACTAGGGTGCCACGCCGTCGTTTTGTCAAGCTCCAGCCTTACCTGGTCGACGCTGACCCATAAGTGCAAGATATGCTGAGGTCAGGCCCAAGCAGGCCGCTCTCACTTATGGAAGAAGGCGGGCGCAGGTGATAAAAATGGACCACAGCAAATCCAAAGCAGAATCCCAAAAGGACCATCTAATTATCGCAATGACAAGCCGGACAAACAAAATGGACTAAGCACGATCAGCCCAGATCAGTCGAGAGCAGTCCCAAGAAACCAAACAGGATGATGCACTCACGCTGGTAACTGTAATAACAGACCAGTAGAGCGCCGCACTGTACTTGACAAACGGGCGCGCCTCCGCGAGCGGGACTGCCTCGCCGGCGCGGTTCCACGAGAACTGCTCCAGCCACCGCTGCGGACTGTTTTCCAGGCGGCCAATCGCGACGAAGATGCAGGCGCCAACATGTGCCAGGTATACGAGCTGCGAGACGGGGATAGGGTTAATGCTATGGGGTTGGATTAAGTCTCAGGGGGTTCGTCGCTTGAAGGTTATTGTTTCGACGGCTTGCTGTCTGACCGTTTTCTGTTTCTGAATACTGAAGACTTTCGGGCAGATGACTCAGTTAGGGGGTTCTGATTCTACTTTCGAGGGTATGCGTTTCTCGAAATTAGGCATAGGCATCTGCTGAGGATCTAGAGTTGGAGGCTCCAAGGTTGCTGAAATTGAAGACACCCTAGGTGAAGACTGTGAAGCGCAACTTGCATTAGTCACTGGACATAATCAAACCTGATTCAATGCGTGGAGCTTTACTGCACTATTAATCAGCCTTAGATGCCTGGTTGATTTCTAATGGCAGGCCTGCCAGTCCGTTGAATGTGCTTATCAGGCAACTTGATCTTGAAACTTGGAAGCAGTCTTTATTAAGGGTGGGTCAGGCGGGCAGGTTTGAGTGACCACAATATGACAAAACGAACCACAGGGGTCTTCCTTCTGCGCACACCTCCATAGGGCTCTGGCGGCGGCTAAGTCGGCCAACCATAATGACCAATTGGAAACAGCTCAAACGTTTCTTTCATCTGACGACGTTACACGCCCGGGACGCATCTAGAGGAGTCATAGCATCGAATCTTCAACCGTATGATCGCTACAAAGTGCAGTAAAGAGGTGCGCCGGCTCACGTAAAAGATAAGCAGGACCATCTCGACGATCTCGTACTGCTTGGTTGTCCACGTCTCCTGCAGCTCCGCTTGAGCCAGCATGAGGCGGTGCAGCCGGAACAGCCGGAACAGCCGCAGGAACTGCGGGCGGGAGAATACGACTGGCGTCAGTTAGGGTGTCCTCAAGAAGGGTTAATCTTGCGAAGACTGCGTGGTCCGGGCGGAGCGAGTTCGCTGTTCCGGCAGCAAAATAATGAAGTTGCAGCTTGGACAGTTGCGAGTTCCCGAGCATAGGGATCGCATCCTCTCGCAGGACACCAAACCAGTACGGTGCATGCTGCGTTTGAGCGTCGTCATCGCACAATTGACCAGCCAAGTAGAGAGCAGTGGAAACCGGGAGCGAAGAAAAGGGATGACATGAGCAAGGCCCCTCTAGAAGCAATTGGCCGCAAATTCCCTTGCTCGGGCTTTTGAGACCCTAAGAAGGGTCAACGAAGCAAGCCCTTTCACGTGGAGATTGGAAGGCAAACGCAGGGGTAGAAATTCCCTCTCTAGCCTCTCTTTATTTCTAAGGCCCTCATGCAATTGAACCAGGGCTTCGCTCACTGTTTTCTCTGTTTTCGATAGGCCCGATTGCTTAGTACTTGCAATCCTATTAAGGAGATCCGAGTTTCTTTTGAACTCGGTCCCTTCAGATGTGCCCACCTGAACGATGTTGACTGTGCTGTGCCCGACGTTTGCCACCAGCAGCAGGTCGTACGGCAGGCTGGAAACTAGATCGATGGCGAACCACGTCCGGAGGTAGTGCCGCGCCACGCGCTGCGGGCGCATCACGATCTTCTGCGGCCGGATGATGCGCAGCCCGTCGCGCATCTGCAGAAGTGCAGGCCTCAGGTTTTGAGACTCCCGGCTTTCGAAATACGGCGCCATGCCAGCAGTACTTCGACGTTGAAGTACAGACCGAGATAACTAAGGCCGACGGCTTTGGATCAGGCGAACCAGATAAATGCCGTTTGGACTCGACTTCTTAGGCGGTTGTTGCAACTTCCATAACATTGCGGCAGCCTATACTACAATGGGAGGGACACACCGCTGGAACCAAGATTGCTGCTCAAGCTGCTCAATTGCAGAGCAAAAACCCCAATCCGCAACGGACTCCACCAAATGCCACGGCGCAACTCAGTTCGGAAAGCTTTGTCCCGCAGAAAATATCTGGACATTTGTCTGGCCAGATCGTCCTCCCTACCGAGCAAGGTCAAGCGAGCCGCCGTCCATGTCATCAATCCGCGCATGACAAAGTCATTAACTGTAACTATTGTGTCACTCCTACCCATAGATTCTGCTAATACCAGGCAAGCAACGTGACCAGCTAATGCACAGGTGCGCAGACTCAAAACCTTTGAGTCCCACACTCCAACCTCCTCAAAGTCCAAAGCTTGGTGCGCACCTCATCGCGCTGCTTTTCGACGTAGCCCGTACGAAAGTTCATGGCGACATCCACCAGGAAGATGACGTCCACGAGGAACTCGATGGTCAGCCAACCACCGGTCAGCGACACGTCGAAGCACAGCTGGAACGGCAGGCTCAGCTGCAGGACGAGGAACGAAACACGTCTTTCACGGAAACGAGCGAAACACGTTAAAACTATCGTGTGGCAACGAAGCAAGTGTTGGCGACGGTCAGGGGCCTGTCGGACAGCTGTTTGTTGCCAGGTTTTTGGGAAGAAAGCTGGAATTCAAGTGCTGGAAGAACAGGATTAGCTGCAAAGCTGGGGAAAGAGGACGTTCGAAGCCCGGAAAGAAAAGAAAGATTGCAACACATGCTGACCAAAACGATCTCTGATTGTAAAACAGAAAATCTTATCGGTTTGAAGAGGAGGACCTTTGTTAGTGCTTCTTAACCCGTCGAGTTTACCAGCTTTCTTGACCTCCAGCGAATAGATTCAAGACTACAACGCAAGATGGACCCGGAAGCTTGGAAAGAAACTTCTATTGGTCAGAAGCCAACTCAGTGGGTCGTTGAGGATACATTTTGTGCAGACTGGTCGAGCCTTTCGAAAGTTCCCTCGGGATCGACAGTAGCGGTCCTGGCTGGAATGCCATATCGACCACTCGAGTATCAGAAACTGAACGGTTCCAGTGAGTAGCTTAGGTGCTCGACTGAGATCACCCAGTTTTGCAGCTGCAAAAGAACGTACAACTGGCATCCATCTTCTGCAATGCGGTCTTGAAAACGGGGAAAACACTGCAAATAAAAAACCCGTTCCCCCTCACCATAGTGTACACAATTGCGACTGTAATCACGAGGTTGATGTCGCGGTGCGCTCGCGAGAAGGGGTGGATCATGGGCGGCCGCAGCCACTCGGACCAGTGCTTGTGGCGCACCTCGCGCACCGACGAGCCCCCGTGCGACCCGTCGTCGTTCGGGGCGTACTGTTCTGCGTCCACTCCCTTGTACCGCGTTTGCCAGTCCTGCCACCTGGAAAGAAATGGGACGTCCAATGACGTCAGGCTCTCCAGGGCATAGTCAGAAGAGGTAGGATCTGCCCGCAAAGCACTGTAGAGAGGTCTCTGTACAACAAAGCCTTCGGTGCACGGACGACACTTTTGCCACCTGGCACGAAAAGCAAAGAGAGGTAACAATCGTCCGCTGACGTCATCAACTGCAGAGCGGATACGCGCTTTCCATCTTGACTGCGCCTCCTGCCACCTGTAGAGAAATGAGGTGCCAGGTAACGTCACATTATTCGGATAGTGTGACTTTCGTGTCGGTCCCTGCATGAGCTAAGATGACCCTCTTCAGAGCAGAGAGGCAATTGTGACGAAATTGTCAGTCCTGCCATCTGCAGAAAAGTGCCGTTCAGTAACAGCAGACAGTGCAAAGCAGTGCTGGGGCTGATGCTGTAAACTGCAATATGACGCCCTTCAGACAACAACAGGCCCTCTTGACACCTGCCACAACAAGGGCAAATCTGGCATGATGTGAGCTGGCTTGACTGCTTAAGAGCAACGCGTTTTTGTATGGTGACGGCCATTTCCCACACCTGAATAGTAGAGGTCACATCTGCGCTGGCGCCAACATATGAAAGAAATTGACGCCCCTGACCCATCTGGAGTAGGACTCCGACGAACAGAGATTCCATGGGATAAAGGGAGGCCAACCAGGCAAGGCTCAATGTGTTAGCGCGCGCTCTTATCTTGTGCCTATCGAGAATGTAAACAACTCAAGCATCGAGGCCCAGGCCATGCCAGACAAGCAGCCCCCAATGTATCGTTCGCTTCTTCACGTGCTAAGGTAGGCCTGTGAATCGCAAGGAGAACCATCAATAGAAGCACTCAATCAAATGGAAAGAAAGATTGGCTCAGCAAGCTTCGTGTCATTCCTGAAATGCGTAGAGCAAGCCCACTCCAACTCGCACCTCCAAGACTCAAACCGGAGACAATGTGCAACTCACGTTGTCTTGAAATGAGCGCCCAGACTGTGGCCCTCCTGCGTACTTTGCTGAAAGGTATCTTCGTCCTCGACCTGGGTCATACCGTATGCCTCCGTCCCCGGAAGTGGGTCAAACTGGTTATCAAAGGGGTCACGCTTCCCGTCGTCCAAACCCGCATCCCTTTGCCTGCCGATTGTCGTTCCACTCTCTTCGCGATCCTTTGAGCGTTCTTCGCCAAACCCTGCTTGCGCTGTGCTGGACTCTCTTCTGAACGAACTCTTCCTGGGTCCCGAGGCCGCACTTTCCTCCCTAGACCTAACCGCTTCAATCTCCGAATGAAGCAGCTGTTGACTGCTATCATGCTCCGCAATACTCCCCATAGACGGCCCCAATGAACCCCCTTCCCCCTCGCTCGCTAAACCGCGCTGGCTCGTCGCCGTTTGCCCCTTCTCCTGCAGCCATGCAGCGTCTTCCAGGCCCCCCTCCCTTGCTCTGCTGCCCCCTGCGAAAAACTTCACTGGGGCAGACAAGTTCTCCACCTGATCCCCTGGCGCCTCTGCCGGCCCGTGGGGCAAATAATGGTTCCGGTAGGCGTCTCCAGTGGGGTGGGGTGGCATCCTGGGAACCGCAGGCGGAACCTGCCGGCTCCCCCCGCCGCTACCATCCGCACTCTCTGACTCTCCCTTAGCTGAATGTCCGGCTCTTGAGGAGTCATCAGAGTCAGAGCCCCTTCTGGACGATGGCCGTCTGAAAGCGAGCCCCCGCTGCACATTTAGGCCTGCCTTTCTCCAGTCAGTAGAACCTCCCTTAGCAGAAGCGTCCGACGGCTCAATGCGTCGCTTGTCGTCTTCCCCATCGTCGGTCAACCACTGGTGCCGCGCTACGACCTTGGCCAGGCCCCATCCCTTCTCTTTCCTGCTTGTTCCGCCCACCTGGCTGCCAGGAAGCTTATCTTCACCCTTCCTCCCAAACCACCGCCTGTTCTGCCCGTCAGCTGGAGAAGCCTCAACCACCCGCGGAGATGACCCGACCTCTGCAAGCTCTTTTATGGAAGCGCGCCTAGCCAGTGGGGGCGAGGTATGGTCTCGCACATCTTTTAAAGATCGGCTGCGATGGGGGAGATCTTCGTGGGGGTGATCTGCCGAGGGCTCAGTCAGTCGACGGAGGGGGGGCTGACTGACTGTCGAAGGTTTCAAATCCTTCTTGGAACCATTTGGAGTTGCAAGCTCCACACTTCCTTGATGCTGGAGGCTTTGGGAGGACCTCTTGCCTGCGGCGGCGTTTTGCCCATCCAGAGCCATGTGGCGGAAGATGAAGTTGTCAATGTTGCCTGCAAATACAAGTGATTGTGTGTTTTCAATAAAAAGTGTTGCTTCCCAGCCCCTTAAATTATGCTGGTGCATGCTCCAGGCTTCAGCATGCACCAGCCTACAGGAACATCCAGGCATTGATTGTGTTTGTTTGACATTCTAGGGACAGCATTGAGCAATCTCTACAGGGCCAGTTAATGAAGTCGCTCGGTGCCCTACTTTCACCAATCAAAAAGTACCCCTTCTTCAACTTGATCAAATGGGGTCTATCACAATGCAAGGGCAGGGCTAAATTGAAGACGGCCTTCAAGGTGACAACCACTGAAGCTTGCAGGGGACTCAATAAACAGAACACTAGTCATGTTCTGTGCCTATCTGAGCTCAATCCAGACCCTCATCTGTCAGACACGGAGTGCAGTGCGGCGTTGGATTTGACACAGGATCCAATTCTGGACCAGGGCAAGGAATCAAGGATGAAGCAAGAACATAAGTAAGAACATTATAGGTTAGCACTCTCCTTACATGTGCCTGCCTTTGGACAATCAAGGGCAGGGAAAGCAAGCAGAAGAGCGGTAGCAGATATTCAAACACATGCTCGAGCAAGAGACTGGCCCCACATCTGAAGCTTGCTATTGCAAAGCACAAGAGAAAGCGAATAAAAGTTGCTTACAATTGCTGGCGCCCGTACTACTGATGGGGTTTCAACCACAGCCTTGCTTGGCCAACATCGGATGAGGATCGGATTTCGCAATACCGTCAATTAGCCGTCCAAACAGAAGCAATACCTACAACGGGCAGGAATCTGTTGATGCTTCGAGCAAAGTGCTCGTGGAAGGCATCTTGGGCAAGAGACCAAAGGAAACGCATCGAACACCAGTGGCAGAACCGGAAGAACTTTCAGCCGCTGCAAACATGCGATGGCCAGGACAGTACTCTTCCTGCAGATGTTGGAACTTGGATGTCACCTAGACTCCAGAGACCTTCTGAATCTATGTGACAAGCTGCAAAGCCTCGTGCGCGGGCGCCTTCTATCCTGCGCCATCATGATCATCAAAGAGCGCCATCATTGCCCAACACTGACCAACCATCTTCAAAGAGATCCGTGAAAGTACTCAGATACGTACACCATTTTCGACTGGGCTAGCTGGCTTCCAAATTCCAGATGGAGATGTCATGCATTGTAATAATATATGAAGCAGGTCCGACGATCGATATCGCCGGTCTTTTTGGCAGCACGGCAAGAAGGAAGAGGAGAGAGATCTGATCATGTTGCCAGGACCTCGCCGGTTTCTGACGGGGCTGAGAACCGTTTTGGTACCAATCCGCATGATCGAAGAATACCGGTATACCTTATAGAGGCGACATGAGGGATCGAGCCGACCGACGAAATCAAAACTCCGTGTCATGGTCTCGAACGGTAGCCTGGTCCTAGTCTCAACGGCACATGCAGGAGCACACACACACGAGCCCGGTATAAAATGGGTCGGCAGAGCCAACAGTTCGGAGATATAGGAATCCCTAAGAATCCGGGTCGCAATCTAGGATCCTCCTACCCTAGATAGAGTGTGC